TGTGCTAGCTAATGGATTTATTTAGACTAATTAAGCTCATTGACAGAACAATTGAATGGGGGGGGGAGGAAGGTATGGAGGGCAACCATGGATGCCAGGGACAATGGGGGAGGAAGATGGGACATAGCAGAGGGTGGGGGATGGGGAATCAGGGATGGCAAGACAAAGGGCAAGGTATGCAGGACGTAAGAATTGGAAAATTATTTGCTGAGAACATGTATGTGGATGTGCTTGATTGAGCCAATGCACAGTGTATTTTGGATGGAAAATTAATTTGTGTGTTGTGATGGTGTAAAGTGAATTAATAAAAAAAAAAAGTTCATGGATAAGAATTAAAATACAAGTTAATTTGGGTGCAAAATAATTTTAAATCCATGCAGTTTCTATAATACTCATTTTCCATGGACTTTTTTTTTTTTTTTGCTATAGGGCACGTGCACTCACCAGAAAAACAGAGATAGAAAGTGAGAGTCTAAGAGCTCAGAATGGTTTTTACAGTTTATTATTTTTTTAAAAAAAGAATTATTTAATTCCATTTGTTATTTATTATTATTTTTGGAGAGGTTTTTGCTATAGGGCACGTGCGCTTGCCAGAAAGAGAGATAGAAAGCGAGAAATTACCCCCCAGGGGGTATGGCCACACTGTAATCCCTTCTCTATTCTCCTCTCGGGATCTTGGACATGCATGCACACGCGCCTGGTGTGAGTTTAAGCCACTAGGTCCAGGACTCAAACTGCGGTCGACTACATAGGAGTTCAGCGACATAGCCATTACGCTAACTGCTGGCCCTGTTACTATTTTTTTATAAAGAGAAGTTTTTTTGCTATAGGGTGTGTACACTCACTAGACAGAAAGACAGAAAGTGAGAAATCCTCTGGGTGGGGGGGGGATAGCCATGCCGTAATCCCTTCTCCACTCTCTTCTTGGGATTTTGGGCACATGCATATGCGCCCAGTGTGAGTTAAGCTGCCAGGTCTGGGACTCGAACCATGGCTGACTACATGGGAGTCCAGCAACATAACCTTTACAACTGCTGGTCCCACTTGTTATTTATTTTTTTAATTTGACCAGAGAGAGACAGAGAGAGAAGGAAAGTAAGAAAGCAAGCCATCAGGTCTGGGACTCGAACCACAGTCGGCCATGTGGGAGTCCAGCACCTTTAACCACCAAGCCAGCTACCATCCCCTATTTATTACTATTCTTTTTAATTTGTCCAGAGAGATGGGAGTAGTGGGAGAGTGAGAAAATAAGCCTCCAGGTCCAAGACTTGAACTGCAGTTGGCCACATGGGAAACTAGCACTTTAATCACCATGCCACTTGCTGGACCCCATGGTTTTTACATTTTTTAATGGCTAGAAGGCAGGAAGAAGACCATTTTGTGACATTTGGAAATTACATTGAAATCAAGTTGTAGGACTGGCAGATGACATGGTAGTTAAAAGGCGCTGGGTCCCCACATGTCTGACTATGGTTTGGGTCCTGGACCTGGCAGCTTGCTTTTTCACTTTCCCTTTTTCTCTCTCTCTGGTCAAATCGAAAATAATGACAATGAACAGAATTAAATAAATAAATATATTTTTTAAATATCAGGTTGTAGTGTACAGGTGTCTTTGATGCCCAGCCACGCCCCCTTGCCTGGGGTGATAGCTACTGTTGGTAGAATTTATACCTATCAGGGGACCCCCAGATGACATAATGGTTACTTCCCTAGACTCCCATGTAGTTGACTATGGTTCAAGTCCCAGACCTAATAGCTTAAAACTCAGGCCAGTGCAAGCATGTGTGTGTCTAAGATTCTGGGGTGGGAACTGAGGAGACGGTATTGTGGCATGGCCAACTCACCTGGAGAGTAATTTCTTGCTTCTGTCTCTCAAGTGAGCACATGCACCCTGGAGCAAAAAAAAATCTAAAAGAAAAGAAAATGCTTGGACCACTAATACTGTTATGATTTTTGATACCAGAAAATAGATAGCCCATCAATACAGGAGTGGCTAAGTAAAGCACTGTAGTACTGTACACACACCTGGACAGCACATCTGCAACCATCAAACTTGAGTGCCACAGTTGGGAAAAGCTCAATGAACAGAGCTGTGTTAATACACAAAGACACAGACACACAGCATAAGTATAAAGTTAGGAAGCAATCAGAATGCTCTGGCTAATTAATTATATTAAATAATTCTTTAAAAAATAAAAAGGTTGGAGCTAGCAGGTGGTGTGGTCAAGGTGGCTGGACTCCTTGACCTGATGATGACAGTTTGAGTTCTGGACCTGGCAGCTTGCTTTCTCACTTTTCCTCTCTCTGTCTCTTTCTGGTCAACTTAAAAAAAAAATAAAATAGTGAATAAAATTAAATATATTTTTTAAATAATTATTTATTTATTTACTCATTTTAATTTGACCAGAGAGAGAGAGGGAAAGCGAGAAAGCAAGCCACCAGATCCAGTACTTGAACCTCAGTCGGCCATGTGGGAGTGGCCACGCCACGCCACCTGCTGGTCCCCAAAATTAATTTTTTTTTTAAAGGCTATCATGGGCTTCTGTGCTGAGAACATTGTCCTGTCCAACAGAGGAGGCTGGGAGAGGAGGTAGAAAGTCTGTTGCTAGTGTGAAGTTAGGTTTTTTGTGATAGGACAAGTGCACGTGCTAGAGAGAGAGACAGAGTGTAGATGAGAAATCTGCCCCCAGGATGATGGTCACGTCACACTCCATTCTCTTCCATTCTCCTCTCAGGATTTTGTGCATGTGCGCATGCACACACCTGGTGTGTTTTTCAAGGTGCCAGGCCTGCGACTAGAAGCATGGGTGACAATTGGAATTCAGCACCTTAATAACCTCACTATCTGCTGACCCCAAGGACTTTAAATTTTTATTTTTTAAGGTTTTTGCCATAGGACATGTGCGCTCACTGGAGAGAGACAGACAGACAGAGGGAAAGTGAGAAATCAGCCTCCATGGGGATAGCCACAACACAGTCCCCTCTCCCCTATTCTCCTGGGATTTTGGACATGCACACACATGTGCTGGAGTGATTTTCAACCTGCCAGGTCTGGGACTCAGCAGAAAGCAGACCAAATGTGGGTCAATTAGTGTTCCATGGAGTGAGGAACCCCACCAGGGTGATCACACCCAAGTGCAGACAGTGAAGACCCAATGCTCCAACCTGGAGTACAGTTAGGCTGCAAAGCCAGCCTCAGCCCAGCACACACCATCCTGGGGCACTTGGGCAAGCCCCCCAACAACTAACATCACACTGGCAAGACTTTCCACCTCCTCTCCCACATTCCTCTATTGGCCACGACACCGTTTTCAGCACAGAAGCCCATGATAGCCTTTTTTTTTTTTTTTTTAGGTATTATTTAACTTATTTATTATTATTATTCAGTTTACCAGAAAGAGAGCGAGAAAGTAAGCAACCAGGTCTGGAACTCAAACCATGGTCAGCCATGTGGGAGTCCTGCACCTTAACCATCATGCCACCTGCCAGCCCCCCAGTGATATCCTTTATTTTTTATTGGTGTAGGTTTTTGCCTTAGGACATGTACGCTGGTTGTGGGGGGAGGGAGGGGCAGAGACAGTTTGAGGGAAAGTGAGAAATCGCCCCCAGAGGGGGTGGCCACACAATGCCTTCTCCATTCTTCTGGGACCTTGGGTGCATACACGTGCCCAGCCTGAGTATAAAGTCACCGGGCCTGGGACTGGGATCACTCCTCAGTGGCCTGTGCTGACTGTTCCGATGTGCTCTCCCTGCAGGTTACTAAGCCCCCTCACTTGATCTTTGCTCAGATCCCACATTCTAAGGGGGAAAGGGTGAGTGACCTCATAAGTCTTGAAAACGCAATCTGCTTCCCTCATGAACTCACATTCCACAGACCTGCTCTATTTACTCACTGTCTCCTAACAAACTATACCAGTTATTTTTTACTATGCATTTGGTAACGTCCTGTCACTGACCAGCATGTCAGCTCTAGGAGGGCAGGGATTTCAGACTGAAAATGCCCACACCAAAGCAAGATTTATGAAAGCGAATAAGGAAGTTGGATGCTACGTGGGGCTGGCCTGAGCAGCCTCATGGCATCCAAGATGGCCCTGACTTGGCCACATCTACAAAAAAGATCAACTGCAAGGGCAAGAGAAGGCATGTACTTTAATGTCTACGTAATGAAACTTTTTTCTTTTTGAAAAATTATTTGGGCCGACAGGCCACATGGTGTTTGAGGGCGTTGGACTCCCACATGGGCAACTGCGGTTCGAATCATGGACCTGGCGATTTGTTTTTTCACTTTCCCTGTCTCTCTCTCTCTCACACACACACACAGTGTCCCTCTCTGATCAAATTGAAATAAATAAGTGAATGAATGAAGTTAAATAATTCTTTTAAAAATATTTTTTTCCATTTAATTTTATTCATTGTCATTATTTTACTTATTTATTTGAAATTGACCATAGAGAAGGAAAGTAAGAAAGGAAGGTGCCAGGTCTGGGACTCAAACAGTGGTCAGCCATTTGGGAGTCCAGCTACCCTAACCACCATGCCACCTGCCGACCCCAGAAACATGTTTCTATGTTGCTTTACTTCCCCAAAAAGAGGCACAGCTACCTTTCAAACAGAAAATCACATAATTACATCCACTCACTGAAGAGGTGGCCTTACAGGAAGGGCAGAGCTGGCTGTGCTTTGTGGCCACATGTGGCCACATGGCAGCACCTATCTATGCCTGAGTAAGGGTCAGTCCTGCAGTTTGCGCTCACACCTCTTCTCCAGATCCGCCATCTCCTTCAGCACCACAGCCACGCTATACCGCAGCTCCTGGAACTTGGCTGTGGACATCTCAAAGCGGCGTGCAGACCCATCAGAGAGCTCCAGCTGCATCAGGATGCTGGGCTGCAGGGAGCGGGCCAGGGCGCTGGTAGAGATCGCCACGTCCACCCGCCACCGAAGGTCAGCAAGGTGGAGCAACCAGGCTCCCGGCTGCCGTGCTCCCAAGTCAAGAAGGGGCCGCTGACTCCCGAATACCACGCCGGCCAGGTCCTCAACCACATCTTGGGGAATGCAGAACTCCTGGAGCTGGTCCCTGAAGGCCTCAGGCTTCAGGCTGGCAGGAGGCAGCCGCAGTGCCTGCTGGAGCAGCCTGTTCAGGCCTGCGAGAAGGGCACCCAGCTGCTCCTCCGGCAGGTTGGCACTGGCCCGGAGGAGCTGGACGGCCTCTCGGCAGTCCTCCCCCTGTAGGCTGCTGACCACAAGCTTCAGACACTTCCTGAAAGTGTTCCTGTCCAGGTCCCCCAAAAGCTGGGCCATTGCTGCCACCTCTGGGGGAAGCTGAGTCCCCAGGAAGCTCACACCGACA